ATATTCCTTTTCATTATTATTATTATATTATTATTGTTAACATTATATTTTAATTTACTTTAGTTATTGAACTGTTCTTATCTCAGCCTACGAGTTTTACTTTTTTCAATCCTCCTCCCCATCCCACTGGGAGGGGGGAGGAGTGAGCAAACAGCTGCGTGGTGCTTAGTTGCTGGCTGGGGTTAAACCACAACAGCTACTCAGATCCCTCCATTCCACTGGTGCCCACCATCTTTTCTTTCATATATAGCCTCATTTTCTTCTGTTTCAACTACTTCTGCTTGTGAACATTGTCCTACCTGTGTTCTCAGGTCCTTATGGCTAGAACAAAGTATCACCAGAGTACAGGAGTTACTGGAAAAGCAATATAAAGTAGAAAGTATTACGATGCTCCTACACCTGACCACACTGTATAGCACCTTCCACGTGACGAATAACTAAAGTAGGACTAACCATTCTGGAAAAGAGGGATTTAAAAGAGGTTGTAATAGAGGGGCATAAATCTCTTGAGTGGCTTGGAGAAGGGAATGGGGAATAATTGTTTCGTTTCCTCCAAAACAAAAGCTAGGGGACATTACATGAAGCTAGAGACAAACAGAAAGAGGTTCCTTGTGCTACACAAGTTAAGCTGGGAAACTTACCACAGAGCATTGTAAGTTGTAAAAATGCATATGGGTTCAAAAAGCTAGTGTATGAATTAATGTAGTAAAAGTCCATGGCAGGATACTAAACACAAAGGTCAAGTCAAAAAGTCCTTGTGAGACAAATTTCTAAGGGCTGGGTGAATGTTTCAGAGAAATACCACAGCATATTTGCTCTATTCTTACACTCTCCCTAGGCATTCACTGTTGGCCACAGTCAGAGTTGGGTCAACTGCACTAGTTACAGGTCTGACCTACTATAAAAGTTGTCATGTTAAGGATTACTGAATTCATGGGAAAGATAGATGACCATGGATAATATTGAAAAGAAAGTAAGACACTTCCGTAAGAGCTTTTGAAAAGTTCTGTAGTCAGTGCAGTAAAACACTGTTTCATCCACTGAGCAGGAAAAAGGGTGAATGATCAACAGGTAGAGACTGTTCAAACCCAATACTAGTCTGAATGACAACATTGTGCTGAGGAAGACAAATCATCTAGTAGATCTGTATCATTCTGATAGCATAAGCATTCATCTACAAGATCTTGATGGTACCAGCAAATACAGAATGACAGGGAGATCAATGGCTTAGTCACAATAGCTTTTGTTATTCCATTGCTGATACAGCATGTTTCAGAGTTAGAAAAAGGAGTATGAAGAGCATCACAGATAAACAGCAAAATAAAAAGCAGAGACTCTGAGAAAGGACCAGACAGTCCAGGTCTAGGCTACTGCAATGGAAGAGGTCCTGGTGAATGCTCACAATAAACAAGTAATCAAGAAAAGAAAGGTGAACTTCAACTTGTGTTCATGAAATCCTGCACTGCATAAGGTGTCTGAACAGTTTAAGATACTGCAAGCAAAGATGGGACCAAAATCACTCTTGCCAGTATTAACTAGCACTGGAGAATTCAAAAGGTCGAGTCACTGACTTATGATCTTAACAGCGAGATCAAATTCCAATGTCATGACATTTCTCTTTGTCTTATAAGCCACGGGGAGAAGAGGACAAGACAGAACAGGGAGACCTGACAACAGCACAAGGCTCATTAGGAACCATATATCACTGGAAGCACTTCAACTGAACCAGATGGAAGCTGGATTAATTCAGCTTTGGATCTCTTCACAGACTTACAAGTAAGAGTGTTGCCCCTAGAAAAATTTGGAGGACTTTTTGGGCTTCAAAAAAATCACATAAATTACTAGGCTGGTGAAAAATAATTTTCAAAATAGACAGATAGCTGTATTACTTCTTCTGCAGAGCTTTACTCCATCATGGAAATCAGTGTCTACTACTTCCATCGTCATGTTTCAGAAAGACATTTATAGAGTTCTGAACATAGAGGCCCCTACCTGTTGATCCTCTGTTCTTAACCCCGCTTGTGTAAAAGGTCTTTCATCTCCCTCCCTGTCAGCAGTTGTTGGCCTCTTTAGCTCCTCCTCGTATCTCAAGGAGCTGGCATTTTCCATTTCTCCATCATATGTTTCATCATAGCAGTATATAGCTTCAAGAATATCATCATCGGTAGTGAACAATATAGTATCCCCAAAGTGCTCTGGTGCTGAAGGCAACATACAGAATTAAATGGAGAAACCATACAAAAGAATACAGAGAGTGATAAAAACTTTTTTCAGTCCTTCTTTACATTTAATTTGCAGTACTGTTTAAAGATGATATGTGGTAAATTGATACTGACTATTGATATAATTAGTATGTTCATTCTTAAACTTATACTGCACAGCAGAAAAACCTAGAGAACACAGTCAGATTTCAAATACATATACAAGAAAATGGGAAAAAAGCTTCTCCATAACCTTTTCGAAAAGACCTTACCTGTGAAAACAAGTAAAAATCTGTAACTTTTAGATGTCTAGCGAGTATGTTATTGAAATACAATTTTGTCGCTAAGACATCATTAAGAACAGACGTTAGCTCTATATGCTGCTAAAATTCACAGTATCATTGAAGAATGCATTAGTGGGTTTTGCATTACGTTTTGAAATTAAAAGGACTAAATACAATACAAAGTACCAGCTTGCTTTGAAGTGGAAAGTGATAACAAACAAGCTAAATGTATTTGTTTGCAGTATACTACTGTTTCCACAAAGACAGTAAGAAATGATAGCATACCTCCAGACAAGGTTCCCGAAGCTTTTGCAATTTCTCCTTTAAAGATGCATTGTTCATCTAACACCATTACAATGTCTTTCTAAGAGTGTATGCGAGATTTATTATAATTCCAAATCCTAATCATAGCTACTTGACAGGAATTCACAAAGTCAATAAAGATAAAGTGAGGTTTTCCAGGGGTAAATGGTGCTAGCCAGAGATGCATATCATCCTGTGTCCGATTTACCCCATCAGTTAGGTTGGTTATTATTCTGGGATCGTTGCCATAAGCTGGTAAGATATTTATATCAGGTGGTTCAGCTGTTATCTTTGAAATCTGAACAGGCTCTCCTTTAGAACTGAAAACTTCAATTCCATTAAGACCAACATAATGTCTGTCTCCCCATGTTGTTTGAATGTCTATCACTAAGTGCTGCCCATAAGGTAAAACAGGAATTTTAAAATCATTTCCATCATGTATCTCCACAGAATTTTCTTCTTCTTGCCTTTTTGGTAGTGTTTGTAGTCCCTCTTTTCTCATTTGCTGATATTCGCCAGGTCGGTTGATTTTCTGTTGATGGAGAAACTCATCAAAGATATCCCCTTGAAAATCCATGTTAGAGATTCGGCCACGATGGGAATAATTAAACTTTACCAAGGAGTTCCAGGACTCCTGCAGTGTGTGTTCTTGCTCATTGCGCCACTTTGCTCTAGAGGTTGCTATGTCCTTGACAGAAAAGTCTTCATCTGAAAACAACATTACATAGGCATTTAATTAAACAGGATGGGAAGCAAACTACTACAACACGGACTTTCCAGAATTATGCTGGTCGTACTCATGTTCCCTTACTGTGAAATTCTATTATAGTAGCACTTTTATATTGCCTCCCTATTATGAAGGCTACATGTCTCAATTTCCCTTCCCCATTTAGACATAACAAAACCAATCACTTTTAACTATTGAAGATCAGAGCACATGCCAAGATACAAAATGCTACTAAGTCTGAGACTGCGAATTCTTGACTCGACACTTTACAGAAATTGGGATTTTGCCCAGTGATACTTGTTGTGTGGCTGTCACAACAGTTTAAATCATCCGTCTGCATTTCTGCAGAATGGTTGAACTGGTTAAGTTTCTAAAGCATCAGAGAGAAAAGAGAGTGCTTCCTGCCAAAATCAGCCACATGTATATAAAGAAAAGTGGCGAGAAAAGAAGTAGGTTCAGCATACAAGGAGGATGAGGCAAGCATTGCGTTCTATGCAGGTAATGTCGAAATATTTTTCACACTTCTCAGCATCTGTGAGAGGTAGAAGGGGGATAATGACAGAGTATCTAGTGGGAACACAGTGGGGATGGCAAATTAGAGGGGCACAGTGAGAGTAAAGCACCCTCTCCTTGGGACTGCACTGGGGAGCTGCTTAATTTCCCTCTCAAAACAATTAAGAGCAGATAATAACAAAGATTTTCAATAAAGCTGTCACTCATGTATTTTCTTCAAATAAGAAAAGCAAGTGGAGTACTAAACAATTGCAGGCCCACGGGCTAGATTTTACTTCTGTACAATGTCCTTGAGTGGATACTAAAACAAACGGTTATCAAGAATAAATGCCAATTGCTGTAAAATGCAAAATAATGTTTTCCCAAAAGACTGCTCAAGACCAACTTTTAACTTTGTTTTTGGAAACACTGGGAAATAGGCAATGTTCCTAATCTATCTATGGAAAATAATCATTCACACTAGGGACAAGTGAGATAAAAATAAGAATTTTAAAGCAGATGGGAAGCTACCTGAAAGAGGGTTGTCTTCCAGAATGAAAGGCTGGAGACCAACCTGGCCATTCCTTCTTACCCCGCAAAGGAAATCCAGATAGGAAGCCAAGGTACATATTTCAGAGAACACCAGTCATTTATAAGTCACTTTGTTCAAACTATTGTCCATATGGATATTCATGGGGTGGGTGATCCCAAACAGTACTTCCCAGAGCCTCACAGTTTACCTGAAGAAGATACTGTATATATATTTACCATTTTAAAATGTCAAAGATTGAAAATTTCAGGATGAGTATGTACAGAAGAGTATTTGACACTCATTGGCTTTCCTTGTTTTGGAGGGTTTTTCCCCTTTTTTTTTCTTAATGTTAAGCACTTCAAGCAGTACAGAGATGACAACTCTGAAGCACTTCTACAGCAGTTCAATAGGAGTGATTTTCAATGGGAGGTTAACGGGTTTGTTAGGTACATGAAGGAGTGACAATAGTAGTGGAGCTCTGAAAGGAAAGCAGAGAATAGCCCAAAAGCAGAGGTCAATGGCTGAAAGCTTACAGGGTTTGATATTTTTTTTAGAATCTAAAATGTATTTTTATTGGAGCCATGGGAACAATAAACTCTGCATGTAGATAAAAAGCATCCCACTTGCAGATGTTTCAGGCGCATTCCCAGCCTTCTGCACGCCTGAGAGGATTGTATGACGGATGCTATCCCAGAGTCCAGAAATAATGACACCTCAAAACTGCATCTGCCCTGTGGGTTTAGGAGGGGTGTCTTGAATCACCAAGTCCCTTGTCCTGCTTCCAATGGCAACACACACCATACAATTCCTCTCAAAACTTTAGTAAACTACATTTTGAGGCAACACTAGCTTGAAAAAAACACCTTTCTTCTCTCTCTGTTGTGTTAATCTCATTTTTACTCCCTGCAGCTATAAATAGAAATCGTATTTCCATGCTGCAATCACACGCTTCATTTCCCAAATCATTCTAAAAGCTCTCTTCTGTATCTGTTCCACTTTGTAATCAGCTTTCCTGAAAATGGATGATCAGAACTGCAGCTTTCCAACTGACGTCTCACGAGTGCCTGTGTAGAGATATTAACATTTCCTTAACTAACAGAAATGCCTCTGCTGATACATCCTCGGCCTGCGTTGCTATAATAACATCTGCGTCACACTAGCATTTCATAGTCATTCTGTTATCAAGTACTCAACCAAGATCCCTCTCTACCTCGGTCATTTGCAATTGATGATTACTCAGCTTACAACTTAACTTCTTGTTATTAGTCCCCAAATGACCCTGCAAGCAGTACTACTGAATTGCGTTCCATTGCTATTACTCTAGTCCTCAAGTTCATCTTTCAGTTCAGTTCTTCAATCTTCTTAACTCATAATACCCCAAATTATATGTTATTTGCAGATTTTATCAGCATACTTCCATCATTTCCTTTGCACATTAAATCAGTTATCAAAGAAAAATTTTATGTTTTTATAGCAACATTAACTCGAGCCCAGCATGCATGTACGTGCTATTTCTAATCTCTGTTGTTCTCATTATTCCTCATTTAGTGACCAAAGGCGTGCTGTGATATTGCAATGAGCTTGTGCAGCCTCCCCTTTGTCACATACTGCGACCGGGAAACTGCAGTTCCCCTAGCCCCGTACCAATTAAAATTCACCACTCTTAGGGAAACACTTTTCCCTGTTGTTAATGCTCACTTGGCTCCACTCTGAAGACGGCTTTACCCTGCACGGTACAGTACAGAGAGAACAAAAGCTGCTAGATGGCATGCAGTTTTCCCAGGAACAAACACATTTTGGGAGTTTTAAGCACCAGATGACAAACCTGCTCTGAGCAAAACTAGAGGACATTTATAATTAGAATCATGATAAACCCCATCTTATAGTTTACATTAAAACTTCTAAATTGTTACCATTTTTACAACTGAACAGAAATTGCTAAGGTGGGATTTATTTTACAGTTTCCACAACGTTGACAAGTTTTTAATCTAACAGAAGTACTGTAAAATGTGTCAAACAGCAAACGGGCTGCGGCGAGTGGGTGCGGGAAGGGAAGAGGGCAGTTATTCCAACTACTTCCATACTTTTTACTTCTTTCAGGTGTAATTTCAGATATACTTACAAAATTGCTGTTTTCTCCACAGAAGGGCAGAGAAGGAAAAATTCAGACATTCCAAGTTCAGAAAGAACCATTTTCCTCACATTTGTCCAAAAAATTCATGCAGTACCTGCATTCATGCATTTAGGCATATTTCCTGTCCCTTCTGATCATAACTTCAACGCAAACACCCAAATACAATACACAGCAAGCTATACTTTCATGTAAATTGTTCTGATGCTAAACCACTCCCAAAATTTCAATTTGTATTTTTGTAATCCCTTCTTCCAATTCTCTGGGCCGCCTTGTCCTTGTTCTGCCAGACTCTCTTCATTTGAGACACGTTATTGAATGCTGAAGAATTACAGAATGCCAAAGAAGAGGTATGAAGAAGGGGTATGAAGGTCCAAAAAAAGAGTCAGAGTGACACATGGCTTGAAACTCAGAAGGGGAGATTAAAAATATACCCTGAGCAATGGAAATCCAAAGAAGTTGGTTAAAAGTGAGACAAAGTAGAACTTGTGGGTAAGAAATTCTATTCTTGTGTTATTTACAGTTGTTAAGCACAAAAATATTACCCCATGCCCAGAAAATTTCTTAGTCATAGATTGCCTGAGGTTGGGAGAGAGCAGGAACTTCAGAACTGGCCCAGTTCTCGTTCTCGTCCCTGGGGACACACTGTTGGCTTTTGTCAGAGGCACGACACAACTACACAAATCTCAATCCTCTACCTCTAACAGGATCCAGGCAAACTAAAAAAGGTTTGCAGAAGGATGACAAAGATAATCAAAAGCAGGGAGCAGATAACAGCTAAATTTACTAGAAAACTCTTCATAAATAAGCAGAGATGTCTGAGGGAGCGGTTTGAAAGAGGTATGTAATGTCATGAGTGGCGAAGGGAAATAAGGGCAGTTTTCCATTCACTCTGAATAAATATACCCAGCATATATTCTCAGTGAGAAAGACACAAACCTACTACACAAATAAAATCTGTAAATTTATTCACTACATTCAGGTCACTCTTCTTTATCTTTTTGCAGATTTTCATTGATATTAACAACCATTTGCTGTCTGCAGGACTGTCAATTTTTAGAATATAATTTACTGAAATTTAATAGTCAATCTTCTCCAAATAAATTAAAAAACACTAATTCGGAATGTAAATTTTTCAGAAAAAGAGCATTTCACATCAGGTATTGGACAAGGAGAGAGACTCAGCATTGTTGCAGCATGAATGAGAAAAACTGAATGCTGCAAACAGCAAAACTAAAATCCCCCTGTCTATACCTCTAGGAATCTCAAGAGGTCCGTTCCCACCTGAATGATTCTGTGCTTCTGCAAAATGGAGAACATGTCAGCCCTTGCACTAAGGTTGCTATTGTGAACCCTTACCTTTGAGAGCGGAATCATCTTCTCCAAGATTTATAGTGTTTAATCCGGCCTTTTTTACACATCTGACACTTCTCCTTCCACTTGTAGGGTACTGTAGGCTGCAGAAATTTTTGTTAGAAAGTTGCTCTGAAATGTCCAAGCCCACATCGCCATCCTTTCTGGTTAGCATTTGTGATCTCTCATCTCCACTTGCATTTCTACTACTGGATCTTCCCAGTTCATTTCTCTGACATTTGACACCCTCGTTAGTCAGATCTGAAAAGTTTTTCATGATTCCATCTGACTGTGTTTTAAGCCTCATGCCTAAGCAATGCTCTGTAGCAAGCCAGGGAGGCTTCTGCTTAGCGAAAGTAACTTGATTATTCTCTGTTACTTGGGAAGATGACTGTAACCAAGAAGGAATTGCACCTGCAGAACCAGACAATTTTCTTCCTGTTAGCTTTTCCATTTGCTCACTCAAACTAAGTTCATCATCAGATGGAACATGCTCCACAACTGCTTGTACTGTTGAATTCTCTTTGGCATCTTTTGTACAAACTTGAGATGGCAACACTTTCAGATCACCTTTTAACTCAGGCAAATTTTTCTTTGTAAAACTGATTGAGTTCATCTTATGCTCAAGTTTTTCTTCTGGCAGAGATTTCCAGTTTAGTGAGGTACTGTTTGACTGTAAGCATTTAAAATGTAGGTCTGCTTTCTTCTCTGTGACTGCAGGTGCATTTACTTCTTTTCTTCCATTTGAAGAATATGCAGAGATATCTTGCTTGTGGTCTTTAAGGTCAATTGTAGTGCTATGGTCAGTGAGGAGATCTCCAGAGGCTCTCTGTAATTCTCCATCAAATACAAGGTTCTCATCAACATATAACTTCACCTTCTTTGCTCCAACATCAAGGTCCTACAAAAATAAAAGTATGAAGATTTTAACTAAGCTGTTCAAGCATTAGGTATCACTGTTCTGGAACTCTGACATTTGAACACTTAATCAATAAACAGATGGAAATGATTAAAACCCTGTATCAGTAACATCACCAGTAACATCAGTAACTGTATCAGTAACATCAGTAACATGACCACATTTTAAGCAAAAGCTCAAACAAATCAAAAATACTGTGGAATATTTAAGATTTTATTTAAGAAGACTAAAAACACTGCTAGACACTACGATGAACCATTTTGGCTGACAAGGCTTAAATATTTAGAAAAGCTTAAGCAAAGAAGCCTAGATTAAGTATAATTATATTTGATCAGGATATAAATTCCAGAGGTACATTTTGCTTCAGCATCTGTGAGATTCACCAGTTTCACAACATGTTCCACAGCAAACAACCACCCAGATCAAAGCCACCAGAGTTTAAAAGAGTTATAAAGAGTTATACGAATACAGGGCTGGAACGAGCATGGAAAAAAAAAATCATCCGGACCATCTCTTTCCACTGCAGAAAGTAATATAACCTATACCATTGCGAAGAAATCTGTTTTTAACAGTTTTCGAATAATCTGCCTTGATAGCCTACTCCAACACTTAACTAGCCTTTTAAATAGAAGGCCTTTATCTCAGACACAACTCTCTCACTCAGAACTTTATGTTCTCCTTCTCTGTGGCACCCACTAAAACCTGATTTTTTCATTCCATTGAAGTTGGAACTAATGTGCTTTCTATTCTCTTTATAATTTCCATCTTTTTCTCCCTCTTGACAAAAATACTGGTATCTTCAAAGAAAATATAGAAGATGAGACAAAATCCATCTCCTTTCTGCCCTCTAAATATCAGTAATGTGTCCATCACGTGGAGCCTGTAAAGACTGTCTGTTCTTTCTTTATTTTCATGGAAACTGAGAAGATTTTCATGAAAGTAAGAACTTTCAGTTTCATCCCTCTTGCTTATCTCCTGGATGTCAGTTCTCCTTGAATACTGATTTAAATTTTCCTCCGCTCCCAGCCTAAACTAGTTACTCCTTCACCTTCAAGTACAAGTGTCTCCAGTTCTTCACTCTTTATAGCTTCCATTCTAGTGCTTTCCAAATAATAACATGTATGAGGCAAAAAATGTCATATGAACCTACAGAAGGGGAAAAACAGAAGATGCAGGCATAACAAGAAAGCTACAGTTGAGGGAGGGGAGTAGGTGTAGGAATGCGAGACACATTCCTGGTATTTTCCTGATAGAAAAAGATAACCTTCACTAACTTCTAGAGAACAGCTGTAAACCCAGTTTAATTGGCCATTATGTCATGGCTGCCTGTGTTACTCCTAGAGTACCATAAAGCGCTATATGTCTGTAATGATGCATTTGGCCATAAAACATGATATTTTTTTCCCCTTGAACAAGTACACTGCTAGATTTAATCTAATTGGAGATCAAAACACTTTAATAATTATATATATTAAAAACTAACTACATGGCTTTGTCTGAAATTATGATGGGGAAGAGAAAGACTATCAGGATGCTGCAGTAATGTTTTTTGAATCTCTGTATGTCTGGACTGCTAATGTCCTCCTTACATGCTACAGATACTGGATATTCACAGCTGAATTTGGGATAACTGCAACATTTCTACATAATATCCTAGCTTCTACTGCTGTTAGGAATACTTACACGTTAGTTCTGTATTTTTAGCTGGGAACAGATGTAAGCTGCACGGAACCACAGAAATATACACATATATATTTTGAAAAGTATTTGTCAGTTTTATCTTTTTAAATTAAAACCAGCAACCTCTTAAGAACAACATGTTTTTAAATGAATCCCACTCCACCCACCAGTACTGGAGGAGGACAGGTAGACAGAGAAAATACTACAAAATGAGATGGTGGAGCTTATTCTCCCTGAAAGAGGGACAGTCAAGTACAGAAAGGGCCAGTCACTTCAAAATTACTATTCCAGTCAGTGGGAAATGACTTCCTGTTCCTTTATGTTTTGGAATGTCTGGGATAAGTATTGTAGGAAGCAAAAGAGGGGTCCGGACTATATCAGGACGAACCAGCCAAAGCTACAGACATTTCTAGGACAACAGAGACAGACTGAGTTGGGGCAGGCATTAATAACAGCTGACAGCTCAGAAGAACCATCTATTCATGGAGAAGCAGTAAGAGAGCTAATGAAAATCTCTTGCACCAAAATTCTAAGCAGACTGAGGCTCAGGGAGGAAAAGTATCAACAGATCTCAGGGACTCCAAGAAAAAACATATGCAGACACAAGACTAAGAACTGCTCTTTTTCATTCCCTCCCACCCCTCTTCTGAGCTTCCAGTTGCTTAGTGATCAGATATGGTGGGAAAGATTGACAGCATGGTTAGCTTCCCCAGCACCAATGCTTAACTCTCCTCAAGCATGACGACGTTGGAGAAATCCCTTCCTCGGAGTAATTCCATCAAGTAGCCACCCTGTAAACAAACAATACTTCATCCAAGGCAAATTTTATTTTTCCTCCCAGAAGAGTAATTAGAATGATACAATGTCTCAGAACAAGCAAGTAGGTATGGTCAACGTCAGAAAGAAAAAAATGAAAGATTTTGTGAAAACAGCTCTACAGTTTCTCTTGATGTTTCTTCCCAGTTTGCATCTTCGGCCCTCACAGACTGCCTGCTGGGATAGTGCTTTCCAACGAAGCAACAAGGATGGTATTTCTGGCTATTTCAGTGATACTTGTGCACGAAGGACAAAGCTTAAAACCAGAGACGCTTTTCTGCAAATTACAGCTGGACAGAGAACTTGAAGTTGCCTCTGCCTGACTTCTCACAGGAGTGTGAAAAAGAAGGAGTAATGCAAAAGAAGTCAAGAATTAGAAGAAAAAAATTCTTCTATAGACCTAACTTTGCTGGAACAAAGTTGCTGCATCCTTACAGACAATGCACCCCAGTGGTAGTCCAGCACTGAACAAAATCTCCAACTCAAGAGAATGGACATGAACATACACACAGGAGGAACACACATATAAGCAATTGCTTGAAGAAGAAAATGATCCAATTGAAGAGCAGCTAAGGCCTTCGCGCATTTAATTATTAATTCCATTCACAGATTTGTGAAGACATACAACAGATATTCTATTGATCTTATGAAAAGTTTTAATAGCATCAAGTCATGATGCAATTCCAAGGCTCTTGTAAGTATTTACAAAACGCCTGAATGTTTCAGACAAACTTGAAAAGAACTGTCTGTCCTTACTTACACTTGATCTCTTCTTGCAGACTAAAAATTACCTCCTTTTTCGCAGACCTCATCTGAAGCAAATAAAGGCAAGATGAAGCATTCTCTGAGACCTTCCTTGTAATTCAATGAATCAAGGAATCTATGGCAATGATGTAATCTGACTTTTACAGCTTCCTTCAGACATATTTTTTGTAGTTCCAGACTCAAGTTCTAAAATTCAAACATACGAAAGTACTGGCCTGAATTAATTTTTTGCCTATTTTTTAAAGAAGTACTTAGGCACCTCTCACTTACATGTTTTTTGAGGGAAAGGAGGAGGTTAGAATGATTACAAAAAAACACACAGAAATCTGGCTCTGGATTTACATTATCAGGAAGAAAATTGTTAGCTAATTATATTTTTTCGTTTTATACCTCTCTGACAAAACTTCCTCATGACAAATTACAGAATTAAGCAGAAATGCCATGTATTATTCTTTCATCTTAAGGATACCAAAACATTTCTTTAGTCAGTGTAGGCTGCTGCACTGCCACCAAAATCCAAGGGATTATACTCCTAAGGGATTTTACAGCTTGCCTCATAGCTGTTTATTAAAAAAAAACAGTGCCTTGAAACACAGAAGTACATTTATGTGTATTTCCTGCATTACATTCAACAGGTTTGGCAACAAATCATACTATTACCTCCAAAAACAGTAGTCCCTTTTGCAGTCTCTAATGATGGAACATTCTGTAGCCCACATTTTAACAGAAAAATCTATTAAAATTCCAGATAATAAATATAAATCAGTCATGGTAAATTTGTTTAAGCTGTCCCTTCCATGGCCATTTCCATATGTATAAATTACCATATGTCCTTATATAAGAACATGGATGAGAGCAAAACCAGAGGGATAATGCCTCTTATTTATAATCCAGGACAGCAAATCCTCTTTGATCCAGTACCTGGGATTTTTTTCTTAACATTGCAGTGTACAAACAAGAATAATTTTCATGGTGACATTCAAACACACAAACAAGAGACCATCTGCCATGAGATGTCTCTCTTGTAACACTAGATTACCTGTTTTATTACGAACACACAGTTAGCATACTTTTCAATTAAAGTGACAAAACCAAAATCGAGCAACAGTCAGTCTATTTATACTTACATACATGAGAAAACACATATTTAAATGCATATTTATTTATATTGTGATAAAACAACTGAAAGTCCTGAATATTAAGATGAACTTACCTTTGTATCTTTATTTCTTACCACAGTAAAGGATTAAGTGACAGAATGTGCAAGCCTTTTATTAGGTCTTTAGAGATCTTTAATAGCTTTGAAAAAAAATGCTCATTGTGCCTATGAAAACACTAAGACTTACATTGTTACCACTTACAATTAAGACAAAAGCAAATTTCACAGTTGACGTGGACCCCTCCTAGCTCCCTCTTTCATTGAGAAAATGGTATCTACTTTTATTTCATACTTTTGGAAAGAAGATCAAATTGAGTTTCCCTAGGCAAGGTAGAACATACATACAGAGGAGTTGAGAAAAGACTACTTACACTGGGAGTTGTTGTGTTGTAATTCCAAATCTTGATCTTGGATATACCAAAGTCATGTGACCGGGTGGGATTGCGGATAACAAAGTAAAGTTGGACGGGTGGATGGAAAGGGCACATCCAAAGGAAGCTTTCCTTCGTGATCTAAAAACATGCACAAGTAGACGTCACTAATACCCTTTCTCCTAAAGCAGGATATTTTAACTAACTCACCACCCCACAGAAAAATATAGATCGATTAGAAAAGTAATAATTTAATAAAATCTACTACATTAAGAGCAAACCCATAACCTCATTTCCAAACAGTAAATCCGACTCTCCTGCCCGTAAGACAGCTCACAACAACCCGACAATTAGATAAAGGTCAGCTGCTTGCTGTCCCAGTAAGACATCTGCGTGCTCACAAATGACAGGCAGTCTGCCATGCTTTGTAACTGCGGGGTCAGAGCAAGCCCAGTTTATTTTAATCAAATTAATCAGCTTTGCAGGCACTAGAGGGGATCACTGAGCACAATGGACACTGTATAATCATTTTAAGATTTCTTAAAGTGCTTACACTTCTGTTTTGCCCTCTGAACAGAGGAATCTTACGGAATTTTACTTCACTGCCTCTATTTTAATCAGGCTTTGCAGACAACTAATTTCACTTACAGATCTATTCCTTAAAGCAATATATAAGACCTTACACTTGAAATTTTCTAAGATGTCACAGAAACTCTCAACATGAATTTTACAGACAACTTACAAGACATTTTGAAGTACCAACTAATTCTGGACATTGTTCAGGACTACGTGTTCAGAAATGGAGAAAAAGGATGTGTGGCAGCTCAGAAAGAAACAAGGAATAAAGAGTTTCAGAATCAAAACGTTGAATATTAATATACTTGATGTCCAATGTTACCCCAAAACAGAGATGAACGAAAGCACAAAGTAAATATACATGCAGACAACATTTCACTGATCTGAGATGCACAGTACAGATAGTCACACAGCAGGTACATGAAGTCAGTATTTTTCCATGTCCTTTCACTTTGAAGTGAGTCTTTCAGTTTTTTCCTGAAGGCAGTAACTACAAAACTTTCCTATTGAGTACTTCAGATGTGTGCCTAATGATGGTAAGGACAGAGCTCTGCCAGTCTGTTCAAAGATATCACGAATAGATCCACTTCTCAGAGTGGTCATCTTCTTATTCCAAGCTCTGATGGTTCACGACGTCTCTGTCCCAGAGGCCTCTCAAAAAGCTTTGGGAGACTGTTGTTCTGTCAATTTGGGGCATAAACAGCCCTAAGAGTGGCAGACAGGTTTAATCCTTTCCATATAAAAACAGAAAGAAGCCTCTTAACATCAAAGAAATGAAGGACAGCCCTCAAACCAGTGTGAACCCAATTCCAGGATTAACTTCAAAGCCAGATCATGTTACTGAAGTCATACTATGAACAAGAATGATTAAAAAAATAATTTCCCAACAGCAGACAACTTCTGATGAGTGATCCATCTCCAGATCTCTCAAGTCAGGACCTGATGCCCTAGAAATCAATAGGTTCTGCTGTGTACTGAGATAGTGCCAGAGGTGTCTTCACAGGAGGGCACCAGATTCAGCACCAAAATGGGCTCTGGAGAGACCTGTTCATGCTTCTCACTTGTTTCTCTGTAGAGTTGCACATGATCTTCCAAACAATAAAAGGTATATCAGAGCCAGGCTGAGCATTGTGTCTTGAGTGAGAGGCAGCTGTAGAGATCCCTTTGTTTATGAGTGGAAGTAACTGCTCAGGACAGAGGATACACAAACTCACAGGTATTACAGCCTCTGTCAGCATGTCAAAGATCTGGTGCCAAAAACTGAAGGCACTTTGATGAATCCAGCCCAAAACTCACAAGACTGTGGAGGACTCTCATGTTTTACCACTAAGAGTGATGATGATGTCTTTGCCTTCACATGATATACTTCAGTCTGGAGTTACTGTCTTTGCAACTAGCAGTGAAAAACTTAGCCCAAAAGTTCTTTGAACCATCAGGGTGAACCTGATATGTCAGGCATAATTTGAACTGGATCAAGAAAAAAAGTGAGGGTGGGAACCTTTGGTCTTAGATTTTGTGTGGGCACTGGAGGTATACCTGCTGGAGAGTAAAGGAAGGCTCAGGCACTGTGTAGAGGAACAACATGGGTCTGAGGGTTCACCATTGTGAAGAAATACCTTTGTTAGATATTTCTGGAATTACAGTTACCTGTCCTTGATATTCTGAGGTTTAAAAGACCTATATATGCCTATAAGAATCAAAAAGGTTTACAGAAAACAATTTCAATGAAATGTCTAACTTATGTCTTATTAAGCATTACATCCCATCAGGCACTATTTTCTTAGTTGAGAGCACCTGATGTTCTGCCAGGCATTTTTTTCTTTTATAGCATATCACGAAGTACAAGGGAGGAGGCAGTTTAAGTGTTCTTCTTAAAAGTCTGCAAGGTTAATAAATAAACTAATAAATAAAATCCTTGATCTTCAATAAGAGTATGTCTATTCTCAAAGACAAATGTACACCTAAATGATCAGACAGATGTGTTTTAACTGTGGTAAAACGAGTTTTCCACAAAGTAAGTTTTTTTGTTAAGTTTACATTCTGTTGAAAATACTAGTTGCTTGGAGATTCATTAATTCATTGGGTTTTTTTAATGCACCCAAAAGCTTTCCTGTATGGTCCGAAATGTACACAAACTGGAAATGCTGCTTTGACTTCTGAAGTTATCACATATCCACATTCTAAGACCATATTCCCTGTCCAGATTGCACCTTCTCTGATGCAATACCTTTCCAGCTTCAAGAGAGAGAAGATGACAGTGTCACAAATCAAAGGAACATATTAATCAATTAAATATAAAACTTCATTACTTAAGAATAATAGGATACATAAATATATGAGAAATCCTGAGAATAACAGGTTTATAATGGCTTGATGAATATATTACTACACAATTTACAATTATTTAGAAAGTCTGAGAGTCACTACTGCTACTACTAAGTGTCACCTGCCAGAGAGCACGGCCTATAAAGGAGAATGGGTATTCACTGCACCCAAACCACAATTTTCAGGAGACAGTAAGAAAGATGTTTCAAGTAAAAATATTCATCTGGAAATAATACTCCATATTGAGTTTCAACTAAAATTCAAAATGCTGCGTATTTGCTCCTTTTCTATTCTCTTTCATCCTGCAAGCAGAAAAGTATCACTAACATGAAATGAGTTAGAATTTATATTTTTTAATAGACTAAGTCATTTAGTATCCTCATCCACTAAAATCATACTATTTTTTACTAGAATCCTAGCTCTGAAGGCCCATGGAGACAAAGGACACACAGTGAATGTGCAGCACAAATGAAATTATGACTGTATGAAGGGCTATGGACATTCGCTAATCTCTTCAGTAGCATCAGAATTTCACACCAGTTATTGTCTTTCGTCCATTGTCTTTAGTATGTCAGGACCTCACGTTTCCTCATCTTACTATCTCACAGAAGAGCCATGAAATACTTTTACCATGCCACACATTTTTCTTAATCTCTTGTTCAAAACTACCTACCTACACATTCTTATTCTTCCATGATTCTTCCCTAGGTAAAAGGACAACAAGGGGACAGGAGAAAATAAGCATGTTTCCTCTTAAGTTTACTTAAATCCATATTAAACATTCGGAAGAAATTAGCAGTGAAGCTCCTATACCTCCAGATCACAAGTATTACTTAAGTTTATCAGCACACACACTGTAAAAATGTGAAATTTCCTGTCCTTAAACTTTTGTGATCTCATTCTACAGATACTACGATTACATTACTATACTTTAAAAACTGAATGTGTTCTTTCATCCAAGACAATACCACAGAGTTAATATATAAGGAGGCAGAGTTAAAGCTGCCTCTTTTCAGTTGCTCAGTTAAGTAAGTCAGGCAAATAAATAAAATTCTGTTCTAAAAAAAAATTACAACTGAATACCAACATCTTGGACAGGAAAGCTGGATTTGTTAATAATAAGCAGTATTTTTTAAAAATATCAGATAGTTCTTATGCAAGTCAGGTTCAAAACGCAATCATGTTTCTAAACAAAAAACCTAGTGACAAAATATTAAAGAAATATTATAATGAGAAATTTTAATATCCAGGACTGAGCTGTCTTACATTCAAGTTCTTATTGACCAAGCAGCACAAATCCCCTGGGTTGTCAGCATTTCGAATATCCACATCATGAGGAGACACAAATATCTTTTCGTCGTACAAATCAAAGAATTCCACTTTGCTCAGGCCCACGTTTACTGGATTTCCCCAGTTAGAAAGAAGTTCCATAGTCACATAAATGGCATCGCGTACTTCCATATTGGTTGTCATCTGGACCAAAATGAAATATGGTATAAACGTGAGTGCAAAACAATAAAATGTGGAACAAAATAAAGATTGTTAAGACTACAATACTGACAAGTCAGAAGCAAAAACCTTGCAAAGTCAAGGCTATCTGGATGACATTCAGTCATTCTGGGTTCCACCAATTCTGCCCCACAGCAACTAATAAATCTATGGCAAGGTAAAAGAAGAGAACTTATCACCCTTTTACAAAACCTATGGAGAAAACAGCTCTCTGTTCTTTGTCCGATTCCTTTGTCATTCTGATGACCAAAGGAACAGTGATAAATTCTCTTCTCTTACAGTGCCCTAGGTTTATTAGTTGACCTGGGGCACAATCGGTGGAATACAGATCATTTAAAGTACTTTTATTTCAGTAATACTGGAAAGCATGACTTATGGTGCATATATACACAAACCTTCTCTCTCAACATGGAATCTACTTCGGAGTTGTCATCAGACAGGAATATGTCATTATCACAGGCAGAATGGCTCTCAGGCTCCGGAAGGACCTTCAGAAGTTTCTTCTGTTGTCTGAAACATACATATTCTTTTATGTGTTACTTCCTCATAATTCCTGTATTTTTAAGAAATAGTTTAGTTGGTGCAAAGGTGAAGAAACGATAGGATGAACCCACACACCCCACAAAAGAATCCCACGTAGCCCCATGCTGAATGACAACTGTTGCAGCATTCCACCTTAGATACAGAGAGTTTGGTTAAAAGACTGGGCTCCAGCTCTCAGCTGGTTCTGAAGCAGTCTGAGACAGTAATACATATGTAACATAAAGACAAACAGAGGGAGATGTTGGCAGTTCCCTGATCCACAGAGACTGACCCAAGGCTGGAACCTTCTCCCTAATTTGCTACTACTTGCATGATGTCTCAGGTACCTAAAGATTATGAGGTGTAGTGGTACTACACTACACCTGGTGGTATACTGAAAAATATCTCTTCAAAAAAGGAAGTTAGCCTTAAAGGAAATATATATACCTGTTTCCAAAAGGACAAACTCTCCCAACAGCTTTTGTGACTGCAGACCTTGCCTGGCTTTTTTCTGGAGGTTCAGCCATTGCAGAAATGGCAGATGAAACAGAAAATTTCTTCTAAGTAAGAAAAAGATGAACAAGTTTCACTCATATTGTTCTCCACATACCAATGAGTATCAATCTGCATCTCTGGAATAAGGAGTTTGGGCCCAGCTCTGGTCCTAGCTAACCTCAGCTAATCCTTAACTCTGTACTGAGTTAAAGCACATTTAACAGAATTGGTCTTGATTTGCAATGAAAAAGCTGAGCTTGGAGCTTCATCTTCTATGTGGGAGGAAAGTAACGTAAAAGCATTCTCTGACAACTATTAAAATATATATATACACACATATGTCTGAAATCTCATTGTGTACATTTGGACTCAGTGTTGGCCAAAGCTTTGGCACAGGTCTGCCTAGACTTTCTCCTTCTCCAAAAAAGGATAATAAAGACTTTTAAACCCCCCCAAAAGCTCAATTTTATTAGAATAAAATCTTTATTTATATTTTTAAATATAGAACTATCAGTAGTGACTATCTAAGAGAAAACAGAGGAAAAGTTCGGCAGTTCTTACAAAGCTATGGGCTTGTTCTCTGCCTGTACCCCACTTTGTAAGTATACCCTGCTCCCTTTGTTATTTTTCCTAAAAATTTGTTGGTAGCTTCTGTCAGAAACAGAATACTCAGCACAGTGAACAACTAGTCACATGAGGAATGGCAGTTCTTCTGTTCTTAGGTCACTTCCATTATTATAATTTTTGAAGAGTAAGAGAACTTTAAAATGCTTAGAAGTTAATTACTTTTTTAGCACTAAAAATTCTGCATTGTTCTACATTTAAATATCAAAGGCCAAGTTCCACAATTCCTTAATTGTGTAAGCAAAATTAAATTACTTCTGGAAGATCATTTAGGTCAGCTTTAAGACTGAGAACTCACAGTGGGTTTCTGAAACTCCATCTCAAGCGTCAGGGTAAAATTACGTCTATTTTAACTATTATTTCATTATTTTTCATTTAAGCACAACTATTAAAATTAGTCCTAATGTTAGCAGGAAAATACATTATGTGACAATATTCAATAGAATTTGTTCTCTCAATCACAAAGCTATAAATATCTCAAAAACAAGAGGAATGAGATTGAAAAGTTGACCTACATGATGAAATCATATGTAAAGTAGTTACCTATAGTAAAAGAACATTTTCACCTTTGCTTTTAACCAAAACTCCTCAGAGACCTAATGTTGGCTCAGCGATGACAGCGGATACATATTCATCATAGCACCAACTCACACCTTCAGGGAGCATCAGCTCAGGTTAAAGTAGTCAGCTGTCTTGGAAACTCTCAGAATTCAAATGAGTAACGCCAAGAATGTCTAGGCATATCTCTTTTCCTTCCTATAAAAATGAGTCTCCTAAACACCAAACTGGAAGCGGGCTGAATCCACGAACACTGTCCGTAACAGATAGTTTTGCAAATTTCAGTTTATGCTCACATTTTTTTATGTACTTTCTTTCTCTTCAGGAGAACTGAATTATTGGTTATGCTCCAAGTTTAGCTAGGATTGTCAAGACAAACCTCCTTACTCTTTAACTTAATGAGGAATAATGGTCTGACCTGAATCAAAAGGGAATGGAATTTTTGTTGATTTCCTTGTTTAGAAGATGAGTTTTTAAATTGTTTTTAAACATGGTTGTTGGAGGTAAGAGATGTACACGCATTGGTGCAGAAAACCCATACTAGTTCCTCCTCACTAAGAGCTAGCAGTGTACATGACAGCTCTGCTCCAAAAGCAGAACTTGTATTAACAGGGAACAGTGCCCATATTAATGAGTCCAGTAGGAAAGTAGGATTTATTGGTATGGAAATCACACATTATCTTGTTTAAGAAGCTTCCAGAATGACAATGGCTCAACTAGGCCTGCAGCTGTGCATTTGACTGTATAGACGTATCATGTGACTGGTCTATCAGTTGCTCAGTGATCCCTGAAATCAAAAGAGCTGTGGGATGCTATCCTGAGGAAGCAGATTAAAGAAAACCACCCTATGGAAGAATAATACAAATTCAATTACACCTAAGAGGCATCACCATTCATTCATACACAATCTTAATGTATAAGAGATTGTAATTCATGAGGGTTTTACTACTTGATCAAAACAGCCCTCTTCTGTATTGTGTCATACCTCTTGAGGGCTTGTGGAAACTGTCTGCCTTTGCACATCTCTCTGCAACACTTCATTTTCAATTTGCATTGCTTTAAGCACAGCTGAAACTGAGAGATCAGGATCCTTCTCACACACATTCTTTCGAGTTGCTGAAAGTGGTCTTTCTGGTCGACTTAATGGTCCTGCCACCAAGAGGGAAGGAATATTCATTTATCTGGCCATAATAGTATGGAACATCACAACAGCATACTTTTGAAACATCTGATTCAGTTACTGACACAGGGGTTTTTGCTAGCAGTCTGTAGCTATCCCAAGTGAGGCTGAATTGCTCCAATTTGTTTTTCTATTAATTTTCCAGGTCACATCTACTCTAGACAAAAGCTGAAACGGTATCATAAGAGGAGGAAAACTGACAAATGAGAAATATAGTTTTTAAGCTTTAAGATTTTTTGTACTTGCTTTGTTCCGATATTTAATGGAAATGCTTTGTAACAGTTCATTGAAAAAGAAGTATATATAATTTCAGCACAACCAGAATTTTTCAGTGTAACTGGGCTGTTCAGGTATTTTGGAGGAATCTTCTAGCAAAACAAAGGGAGTCAGGAGTTGCTACTTGCAAGGCAAAATAAATGACCTTATCACTTAAGCAGTCACCAAAATTCCCATACGCATCCCAATCTTCCCAAACATCATGGAGACACAGAAACGTCACAGCCTATAAACAGGTTTAAAAGAAAGGAAATAAAATTTAACAACTGAGGATCTGAGATTGGACTAAAAGAGAAGCACAATGGTTATATTCAAAAGAGAAGCACAGCGGTTATATTCAAGGACTTCAAAAGTCAAGGGAAGAAAAGAGACCGAAGTTGTACAGACATTTAGATCAAGTGAAAATATTCAAGAACAGGCTGATATGCAAGCAGGTTCATAATGCTGCAGGGAGGTTTACTAAACAGGAGAGTAAAATAGCAGTGGATGCTAGTAACACGAAGTCTACCTTGAAAAGACAGAAAGTTAAAATTGAAGTGAGATTTGCAGGCATTCACACTCTTTAAGCCCTATGCCATCTACACTCATAAAAACTTTCAACAAGCATTAGTCATCTCTGCAAATACAGTGAAACTTTCAACAAGCATTAGTCATCTCTGCAAATACAGGGACAGAATAAAGTCCTTTTTATTTTTCTGTACTATACCATCCCCCTGAAATGAAATTAATTGAAGGATTTAAAGTGATAGTTGGACAGAAACAGTTCTAACAAGCACTATTATAACCTGAGAAAATGCTACACACATCTTTGGAAAGCGGTCAAAGCAAGCATCTGCTCAGACAGATGGTGGGTGAGGGTCTCAGAAGCTACAAAGAGGATTTATTCTGAAGCCAAAAAGAATTAGCTTATTTTCCTCAATTTGGTTTTCTGCCAACTAAGAAACTAATATTTTAACTTTTCAAAACCATTAGCGTTATTGCTTCCTTGGGACACATCTGCATTTTGCTTTTTTCAAGAGTGTATCTTACCCACAGAGCGTGGTAAGTCTGAAAACTTTATCTCAGACCTTTCAAAACTCAAGTTCATCAGACTTGTTCAGTTAAGGACTGTGCTGAAACAACAACTGCAGCCATGATTTCAGCCCCGAGAGTTGGCGTTTGTTTGGGGGGGTTTTTAGCCCAGGTAAAGATCATACCTTAGCAGCAGATTTCTAGAATAAGCACCAGTGCCTTCAAAATGGTGTTCTCCAGTCAAGGAAAAACATTTTCCAGTAGGGGACTATATACTGGCATACACATCCAGCACTGGAGACTGATCTGTAGTGTTCAAGGTGTAATTCAAGTACAGTCCCAAGCAGCAACAGAGCGAGTTTTGCTGTGCGGTGGAAAACTATGCCTTTAGTAATATAAATGCATTGTGTTAAAATCTTCCACCGAAGTGCCAATTGCTGATTTTGAGAAGACACACTTCTGTTAATACCACAGCGAACAGATCTCCATGAGGAAAGTGGGAAACACAGAACAAGCACAAGGACTGAAAGGGAGAGGAAAAAGTCTTATGCTATTGAAGTAAAAAGAGAAGTTAGGTAGTAAAGATGTAGCAGAAGATTAAAGTATACCAGCTCTGGACTTTCTCACACTTTTACTTAAGTAAAAACACTCAAGGTGGTAAAAACAACAACAAACCCCACCAAAAAGGAAAAAAAAAAAGAAAAAAAGAAGACAACAGCTAAGAAAAATCACATAATGACAGATATGTGCTGAAACTACATCTGAGTCAGAGGGGAAAAAAAGCATGAAAATGGTCCTTATTGACATTACATATTCTTATTTCTTACTAGAGCAAATTCTTTCATGTCTTTCCTGGTGCAAGAACTCAGCAGAGAGTGGCCGAGTGATTTTACTTTTTACCATGACTGGTCTGACAGGAATGTACGTTTCAGCATTATCTTTTCTTTTTGCTGAGAGAACTCGTAGTGGCTTCACTTCTGCAAGATAATAAGGGAACAGAAATAATCAACCTCAGAGATATTTAAGAGCAGCCAGCCAGGGTAAACTTATTGGATCTTAACTGCTAAAATTTTGCCACTTTAATTATGTTGGCATAGTTAAAGTAATAACCTCCATCCTCTCTCCCTCTCATTTATAGTGTGCTATTGCTGTAGAAGTACATATGCATGGCTTGCAATGGCTTAGTGAAACAAAATAAAATATATCATTATAAAGTAACAACATATGTCATCTGTACCAGATATTTACCTGCATTACATCAAGAAAAGCAAAAATAAAAGTCCTGAGTCACTTACTAACATGTTTATACCAAAATAAATCTTAAAATACAGACTAAAATGTTGTCTTATTTAGAAGTTTCAAAGAGGCAGAGAGTTGCCTAGTGTAGTTGATAAGAGTACTTCTTCACTTTCTTATTTGAGTATTACTAATGCCTCCATTGTTTGCATCAGAGCTTTGAACCTTCACTCTGGAAAAAAAAAATCATCTACTCTTCCCAAAGATCTTGTTCTCACCGCTGCTCCGTCCCTTGTTCCTATCTCTTCTTCTGCCACCTCGCCCCATTCACACTCCACTCACCTCTATGATAATGAGAGGAACACTCCTTTACTCAATTTGTTCAAAGATTGTTCCTCTTAAGTTAAGCAATTAACCATGGATAAGGAAAAGAGAAAAGAAAAAAGAAAAGAAAAAGAAAAAGAAAAAGAAAAAGAAAAAGAAAAAGAAAAAGAAAAAGAAAAAGAAAAAGAAAAAGAAAAAGAAAAAGAAAAAGAAAAAGAAAAAGAAAAAGAAAAAGAAAAAGAAAAAAAAAGAAAAAGAAAAAGAAAAAGAAAAAGAAAAAGAAAAAGAAAAAGAAAAAGAAAAAGAAAAAAAAAGAAAAAGAAAAAGAAAAAGAAAAAGAAAAAGAAAAAGAAAAAGAAAAAGAAAAGAAAAAGAAAAGAAAAGAAAAGAAAAGAAAAAGAAAAGAAAAGAAAAGAAAAACCCAAAACCAATGAATGTACTTGAAATGATTAGGGAGGGAATTTTGAGAAATACTGAACGTAGGTCAAGGTCTCGTTTCTGCCTGAACTCTCTACCTTTAACAAGCTAAACATCTTTGAGAATTACTGACTGGTTTTGGGTTTGGACATTGAGGTCTCCAAAGGAGAATACCTGACAAAAATAAGTGGCTCATAGCCAGACAGATTTGCATTCTCAAATTAATACATCCTTCATCAGGGATGAATAGCACATGCTATGACAACAAGTGTCTAGCACCCAGGATGTGAAATGGAGGAAGTTGAGACTGGGAAGATTTGGCTGCCTGGACTACTGCAAAAACAGTTCAAAAATACATTAAAAAAATAATAATCTCTTGAGAAATCTCACAGACAGTCTGAGACAATCTTAGTTCACGTGTCTAGGCCTGGTGATGTAAGTGCGTTAACCAGGGCTATATCTTTGTCTTTGCAAAAAACTTTCTTAATGTAGTAGGAAGAGGATGCAAGTCTCCCAAATCAGGAGATTAAAACAACAGGTTTGCTGAAGAGCATGAAAACTCATGGGAGTATGGAGTAAACATTAATGATTAACCAGCAGCAATTCCCTTAGAAGTAATGCTCTCAAAGAATTATTATTATTATTATTATTATTATAATAGTACTGTAGCAGTGTATAATACACAGAGACTTACTACTTTGATCCTGGTTGAATTCCAACACAGTAAGGGCACCAGAATCAAGGCCAGAGCACCTCCCAGCATCCTGATGTTCAGAAGCCTCTTTCTGCAGTGAGCTACTGCTATGCAACTGAAGGCCTCCAAAGCTTCTAATTGTTTCCTCAGTGGGAGACGGTTCTGAAATCACATCCTCTTCAACAGAGTCATAATCATCACTAACAGAGTCTTCTTCCATCCTTTTCTCTTCTATACCGAGTTGCAAGCTTCTTCTCAATTGCTGGTACAATTCAAACAGATTTGTCAGAAAAGCTCAAATGTTTATTTTAAAATAAACCAATGTAGCTGTCTCTTCCTCCCTGAGGAGAAGGAAAATCTTTTCATGAACTCAGAGCCATGATGCAGCTAAAAATATTCACATTCCTATGTTAAGTCTTCACTCCTCTGATGAGGACTTGTAAAGAAAAATCATTCTACAACTCCTTTGTTCCTTCTCATCAGAATCCTTGCAGGAAAATACTGTAGGCCACGGAATTTTTATATGCAAACCCCATTTTTAGGAATAAGATACAAACAGGAGGTAAGCAATGGAGAGGGCAAGGGCATATATTTTTCCAGTCTCACACAGTTAGATTACCGTATCTTTTGGCTTGCTATTTGAAGACTAGCTGCAATCCAGATTTTCCAAATGCCTTCACAAGACTGGAAAGCTAATGTTATAGCAACTTCTTTATCAGTTATTGGACAGATGATAATAGTCCTGTCTTGTACCCATCTGTATTTCAAAAAACAGTAGAAAAGAGTTGTAGTCTAATGGACTAAGCTTCCAGTTTGCACAGATTTTTTCAAGTGGACACACTGCAACAGGATTTTTATGCAAAAATTAACCTATTTTGAAATTTACTGGGGAAAAAACTGCCCTGCCTCTCTCAGCATATGCCACAAACAGCACAGATGATGCTGGAGAGACTTGTGTTTTTATGAATGCAAAAGGAAAAGACCTTGCATATCTTAAATGCTTTTTTCCTCTCTTTGTTTGTATTAGAGTTTTGAGATAAGTATAGATAAGGAAACTGTATGAGTAAAATGAAAACCTGAAGCTATCTTAGGTACAACTGAACTGTGACTGTGTATGTTCAGTTTGCAATGGAAGCTTCAAGCTGCTCTTCTGCTACACATTACACTTGTTAGGAAATCAATCTTGACAGAAACATATTACAAGCAAACTTAGGCTCAAAAGAGGGTCTATAAGCAACCTGAGGCTTGATATTAAGCATGTCTAATGACAGTCAAGACTAATATTTCCAGCTATTTGACAGGGAATTGTACAGGTTTTTTTTTGGTTTGAAACCTCATGACATCTGCATTGTAACAAGACATTCAAGAAAACACATTATAGCTTTAGGGAAATCAAAAGTATTTCCATCTGGGATACAAAGAAAAATGAGGGTTTGGTTTAAAATTATTAGCTTACTACCTACACATAAGTGATCATAAATATCCATCACTCTAAACAAGTTACTGGTTTGTAGAGCAAAAAAAAATCATAAACTCAAAAGGAATATAGGAAAGGTAGAAAGTTGCAAGCTAGGAAAATGCACTTGGGAAGTGTGTCTGATGTCAGTGGTAAGACAGTTTCATATACTATGATGCTACTTTCATATACTTTGTGCTACTAGTTTCATATACTTCAGATGCTACCCCACTACCCAGAAAAGCTTTATTGATGTCAGTAATTCATTAGGCAGAAAAACATCCATAAATTTTTGTTCATTTATTAATTTTTTTAAGGACAGGACATTTGTGAAGTGTGCTAGATCAAACTGCAATTAGTAACCAAATGGAAAGCAACTGTATTGATTAACTTTACTGAGACTTCTGTTAGGTAAAACAATGACATGCAACAATTTTGGTACAATTACTCAAAAACTAACCTAAACCCAGAAAAAGTTGTTGTTTAAGCTTTCTCTAACCTGACAGCCAAGAGTGACATTCATGTAGACAACCATTAAGTGAACTGAAAGAGTCTCCTTGCATGAAATACCTTAGTTCTATCCAAGAGAGACAACATTCTACTTCTTTAAGTTAGGACTTAACATGTTACAGTGTTGTTGGCTGAGATTAGATTTTCACAGTAGTTTTACTTTTTCATTTTTTCCTTCTTTATGTCACATCTCATCAATGTGAAATCATCTAGTGAAAGAAACACTGCATAGCATACTGGGTTTGCATGCTCTAATCAAGACTGATAACTGAGTCTGTTCACATTTCAGTTGACACTGCCATGAACAATACAAGGCAACTGCCAGTTGTACCTGGGAGTAACAAAGAGGATCATCACCATTTGTCTCCACGCTCAAGCTTTCATAAGGTTCAAAATCCTCCTGGTACTCAAGAGGAGGTTCAATGCAGAGTTTATCCCCCCTTTCTGTTTTAATCTCCACAGTTTTCTGTTAAAAGAAGCATTCGAAGAAATTAGACATGTTTTGTGCCATCAGCAGTACAAAAAGAATAATCATCACATTTTACATAACGATATTTAGATCAAGCAACGCTTTTCCCCTCTGTTCCACAGAAAGTTTCTGTTCTCCCTGAGCTCAACTTGGGCCCCTGCATTATGGTTTAACTGCCCTAGTCAGACTCCCCACCTGCTGCTGCTGTCGCCAGAGTGGGTCAGGCCCAGCATACATCATGCATTCAGCACCAAAGTGAGTGCCCGTTGGGGTTCACCCCCTCACCTCACCAGGTAAGTGAAAAAACAATAGGAGTAGGGACAGCAATCAACAAAATAGCTGAAATGCAATCACTTAAAGGCAGGTGAAACAACCTTACGGAGAAAGCTCTCAAGCCTCAACTGGGGAATTGCAATGCTTGGGTGCCTCTCTGAAATGCAGCTACACTAATGGAGAACAAACCCTTGGGGAACAAACAGGAGCAGTTCGAAGCTTGCATCCGGTTACAGGGCTCTGACCTCATTGGGATCACAGAGATATGGTGGGATAGCTCACAAGACTGGAGTGCTGTGACGGATGGATACAGGCTCTTTAAGAAAGACAGGCTGAGAAGGTGAGAAGGAATCGTCATCCTTTATGTGAGAGCAAGCTGGAACGTACGGAGCTCTGCAAGGAACAGGTCAGGAGCCAGTCAAGAGCTTCTGAGTCAAGACTAGCAGGCAGACCAGCATGGGTGCTGTTATAGTGGTATCTGCTATAGATCTCCTGATCAGGAAGAAGTAGATGAAGCCTTGCTCAAAAAAACAGAAGAATCTGCAAGTTCAAAGACCCTTGCCCTCACGGGGTACTTTAACAAACCTGTTATCTTTTGGAAAGACAACACAGCAATCTAGGAGATATCTAGAATGCACATGGGATTGAGAAGCCAACAAGTAAAGGTGCTCTAATGGAGATGCTGAGAGAGCTGGGACTCCAGCCTGGGGAAGAGAAGGCTCTGGGGGATCTCATCAATGTGTATAAATACCTGACAGGTGTCTGCTCATTGACAGGACAAGAGGCAATGAACACAAATAAAAAAATCATAAAATTCCACCTGAACAGAAGAAAAAAAATTACTGTGAGGGTGATCAAACACTGGAACAGGTTTCCTGGAGAGGTTGCGGAGTCTCCATCTGTAGAGTATTCAAAACTTGACTGGACATGGTCCTGGGCAACCTGCTGTAGCTGACCCTGCTTGAGCACAGGGATTAACTAGATGATCTCAAGAGTTCCCTTTCAATCACAATAATTTTGCGATTCTGTAATGTCTATGTATGAAAAAGACTACTTGAAGTAATTGCAATTTTTTAAAGATGTATTACCCTTGTGTATAATATAATAAGGGGGAAATGTTATGCCATAAGCATTCAAGCAGAAAGATTTCTTTGCCTTTGTAAATGTCAGACATGGCTGCCAATAGGTTCAAGTTAATTTGTTTTACTTCGTAATTAGGATGCAATCAACGTATGCACACTGTCAGTTACTCAAGCACGGCTAAAGAGGGGTAGAAGATTTGAGAAACTCATCTTTCCATACCACAGAATTTCAGTACTCCAAAAGATGACAAAAGAGAAAGTAGGAAGTGCATATACTGCTCTTAAGGAACAAAGTTATCTGCACGTAACTTTTTTTCCCCGCTTTTGAACTCTGGTGCAGACATATTCTATAGCGGGAAGTCTTATAAGTGAATGCTGGGAAGAGGACTGTTTCATTAAAGGCAACACATGATCCAGAAGTCTGTGCAATGATATTAAACTCCGTTATCTGGTGTTCATACACTCCTCTACCATTTTGTAAGTGCCAGGAGCAGAGATGTCCCAGAGGGAATATCCTAAGGCAACCTGGCTTATGAAAGAATGTGTTCTTTCAATAACTCTATCTTCCCGCCTCATAGCATACCTTAGCACAGCCCAAGTTTGAGAGTTTTGAACATAAATTGCTAGGTCCTCTAGATATCCAAAAAACCCACAGGGAAAATTACTGGGAAAATAAACTGCTGTCTAGCACAACCTGCGTCTTATTCAGTGGTTGCATATTTCCTTTGCTAAATAATTCCAGTTGTTCATTAAGATACTATAACTCTGCTATCCTCCCATCCAATTGGATAAAAGAGTTAAGGTATCATTCTAAGCTAGTCTCAGGTAGCAGCTAGTTTTTAGTATAGCTACCTATATTTGGCTAATTTTCCAATCCAGTCAGAGGAGATATCTCCTTCTTCATTTGGCTCTTGTGATTAGAATGATGTAGGTTATGACTAGCCACACATTTGGCAAATCTAGCAAACAAGTTCTGACAGGGCAGTATGTAAGCAGTGATCTATGCAGAGAAGTAGTAGCTGAGCAAATTAATTCAACTAAGCAGTAAAGGTGATAAATAAAGTAATGCAGCCTTAAAACTTGAATGTGCAATATTTGCTGAAAGAAAAGCAAACTTGCATGACATGAACATTTGATCCACAGTGACACAGACCCCTGATCCCCAGTCACTCAAGCACGGACTGGATATCCAGCCAGGGCAATTGCTAATCAAGTAGGGCAATTATTTGGATGACATGTCTTAGTTGTTCAGAATTCACATTTGTTCTGTTAATTAAGTCATACTCCTTGACAGGTTAAGTCAGATTCTTCTTTAGGCCAAAAGAAAAAAAGACCAATGAGGTTTCTCCAGTGAACCAACTATGTAGCTAAAGGCTCCAAATTTCTTAGGCAGGGTATTTTTATTATCTGTATGCATCTTCCTCTCTTCTGATCTACAAGAATGTGTCACAAACTACAACTCAAGCTATGCAAATTACAACTCTGTGTCCCTTAATACTATTGCACAGTGGAGAACAGCAGTGACAGACAGAGAAGTATCTCCAAAATGCGATTCTCCATCCTTTGCACTAGATAAGCTCTCTAGGCTTGCCATCAGAGATGTCAAGCAACAGCTATTCTGCTGGAGGACAGATTGAGCCAATCATGTCAGGCTACAAAAGTTTCTGTGACAGACGTCACTGAAACCAGACTCTTTCAATGAGATTTGCCTCTTTAGTGCTTCAAAGTAGACACAAGACTGGTCAGGGTATCATTTCATATTGTCACTCATTGACACACATTGTATCCAGATCAAAGCAAGACTCAGTTCTAGGAGATTTCCAACTGCCCGCTATCTACCTGTTGCAACCAATTTCCCCTAAAATTATTTATGATCTAAGAATTAGTTCAAAGATGCATTCTTTCAAACTGTTTCTCACCTGACACCAACCTCTGCGCTGTATTTTGCTTGGTGCAGTCTGTGTGCTGTGCTCTTGCAGCTCACTCTCTTTTAGCTGGGTTGCTTTTTCAGAACACAGAGACAAGAATTAGAAGACAGAAAATAGAATTATGGTATTTGACAATATACACCTTAGTTCGCATTCATTTTTTTTTTCCCTCGAGATGAGGACAGAAAAGTCTTTGACATCTGAATGGTATCAACAACTGAAAAGGCATTCCCTTTCAGATACTGATTAGTTGTGTGTTAGTAGCAGGAGTTTTGAACCTCTTTGGGGACAGTCATCATCATGTGTATTCAAGAGAACAAACTGTTTAAAGATACATTAGCTTAACAGCAAGCGAAGCCCACATTGATACGAAAGTACAGAAATACGTTCTAGAATAGGGGTGCACATCATTCTAACTCCCAGCTGGGTAGACAGTAAGCTGTCTTAGGAAGCCAACTGAGTCCAGAACCCGTACTACTGAAGGCAGACTCTGGTAGACAGGGTCCCAGCGAACAACAGGCAATATGCTGGGTTTACAAAGGCATTGTGTGTATTTACTCTCAAACTAAGGAAACATAAGATATTGGCAGATTAAACAGAATGTATCAGGTATTTAGCATACTGTGCAGAGAAGGAGTCTTCATGTACAAGTCATAAATGAGGGACAAACAATCATTTTCCTTCGTTTCTAAGGCAAGGAAGAGTTGGTTCCAGAGCTTCTGCAAAAATCCTGTGTATGGTCAAAGAGAACTAAGGGTTCCTGTGCTGGAAATGGTCCCAACTTACAGTGGAACAATGGATTTTTGAGGAGATGCTTTGATTGAGACAAAGAGACAAACATCTTGCAGGTCACATCAGCATCCTCAATGGAGCAAGGACATCACCAACACTCTCAATAGCATCCTAAATAAAGGCATCTCACCTCCTATGTGTCCAAGACAGATTTACAGCTTCCATTTCTTCTCAGTGGAGAAAAATAGCTGATGCAAAACCTTTTTTCTTTAAGTCATAATTTAATGGTCACCCTAAGCCAGCAGAAACTGGCACTACCAATAAAAGAAGCAGTCATCCTACAAAGGTCATAGAACCACAGAAAGATTTAGTTGGTCTCCAAGTCCACCTTTCCATTCAAAGCAGGGCTTACTTCAAAATTAGATCAGGTTGCTCATTACAATTCTCAATACCACATTTTCTTTTTTGGGTTGGACAACCCTATATGCACCTGTGCAGTGAACTGTTCAGAGAACTGATATGGGCAAGTTTTAACTGAGGAAAAACATAAAAGAAAGATTACTTTTAATTGCAGTTACTTGTACAATCTGGTTTACCATGAGATTGCACAAACGCTGGTACGAGCAGATAGGAGAGAACAGGCCCGGGAAGAGAGAGGAAGAGAACGGGAGAGAACGGATCATACAACCATTCTTGGGGGAACAGTGTATGCTTATGTCAATTTAGAGTGATCATAAAATTACACAGCGAGAAGAACAAGATGTTGTTCTACTGCTTCAGCACAAAGTATCTGTCTCTTAGGCCTGAAACAGGGCTAGGAACAGAGGGGAAAAGGAATGGACTGCTCCAAGGAAGAAAAACAGCCCTTCCAACCAGAACTCCTACTACTCCATTAGACTATTCCTAAGTGACTTCAGAAATAATTTGCAGTCATTAACATTGGTGGTGATTGTTACGGGAGCTCTTCTGTCACTGAGCGTGAACTGTCCTGAGATTACAATGCTAGAAGCGTGGTCTGAGTCGGTCACTGCTTTGGGACAGAACTGGAAGCATCTTTCACTTCCTAAGCAATCCATCTTCTCTAAGCAACTGCCAAGGCCACTCATGTATGCTACAAATGTAAGTAGGAGAAGGGCACAGGGTAGGACTCATGCTACCACTGCTGAGTATTTGATTCTCAGAATTGTTTGAGTATTGTGTGACAGGCTGATGTGACCAGGTCTCTCTCAACCAGAAAAAACAGTAGTTCAAATCCCAGGCAGAAGTTGATGCAGCTGAGCTAGTCATCTGTGCTACAAACAATACTTTAGAATAAAAACATCCTTCTCACGGGATGGATGGGATGTGAATACCAACCACTACCTGTTTCAGCACACAAATAGGTCCATTGGTGTCATTCCCTTGGAGACTTGAGCTGACAGTGCCTATTGTGCAGCCAAGAACTGAGTAGTACATCATCAAAAAATTAATCACAATCAAAACAGACCCCATGCTACCCTTAAAACACATCTTTGTGACCACACCAACATTCACTGGAAGTACACGCATGGTTGTGAAACTATGTGTGGGTTATACACCCAAAGAAATGACAGTATACCTACAGACCAGCTTCACTACCTTATAAACCCATCATTTACTTTAATTCATTTACCAAGCCTCAGTGTAAAAAGTTTATCAATCACTATTAATATCAATTACTCCTAGGGAACACAGACAAAGAAAATAGTCCAGACAAATAGATTTACGATGACACTTTCAGGAACCACAAAGAGGGATTTGTGCCCATTCTGTATTATTAAGTACATTCCTAATTTTTCAGTGAAGATTAATCCTATAGATGGATGCTTTAGAAGTAATAAATGATGCAATAACTCTCATGGGAGATGGATAGTGAAGAAAATTCAGTGCTGTATCTCAGCTCAAAACCATTTCTGTAAGTAAAATCATATTCAGTCCTTGAGAAGAAATGCCCAGAACTGAAGCAGACCACAAAACTGCTAAGGTACTACCCTCAGGCAAGAAGCTTATACAGATCACTAATGACTCCCACTCTGGACTCTAGTGGCAAAATCAAATGGAAGCAGAAAAATGACAGGATGATGATTCAGTTGATATCTTTCACTGCAGGTACACGTGTCTGAAATAACAACATTGGATAGCTAAGAAAGAGCAAAACACTGAGTTCTCTTCTGCAGAGATAATGCTACTCTCTCTAAGTTGATGGAGGAAAGGAACAGAGACTGCCACGAAAGTCTTTAAAGGTCCCTAAGACAAGCTGAAGTATTGTACCTTGACCGAATCAAATGGCATTAAGCAACCCTATAAATAAACAACTTTGGTTAAGCTTAGAGATAACAGCTGCATAGCAGAACTTTAAGAGGAAATTTCTCTTGACAGAGTTCTATTACAGCTGCTGTCACAATATCCCTGCACAATTTTTGGACCAAAAAGTCAAAGATGTTGTTCTACACCCTCTTTAGCTACCTGAAGGTGTATCATCCCAGTGTGACAGAGCACACAATTTCCTTCATTTTCCAATATCCAAGAACATGAACTTTTTTGCATCATTACACACAAGTTTTTACTTTCATAGAGAACAGTGAAACTAGGCGACTAGCTGATTCCCCATCACCATCCTGTAAAACTTGCAAGAAATTACACTGCAGACAGCTAAGCCTGAACACACTTAAACTCGAAAACAAACAGTATGTACTCAGTGTAGCAGGAAAACAAAGAAAAAAAACAGACATCACGGTCAGAGTCATGGTTAGAACAGTTACTGAAAGAAAAGTTTGTTTCCAGTATTGTCGAGATTAATAAACTTTCAGTCATAATAAACTACCATAGTAATTAGCTTTTTTAACTATTTATCTTCATTTTTAGGTGAAAATAAAGCTTAAGCAGACATTATCTACACAGCAACAGATTTAAAAAATACACTCTAAGATAGACAGGTTGTAGCAAACGTGAGGATAACACACTAAGGTTGGTAAACTGCTTTACACAGGGATTTAGTGAAATCAACTTTATTTTCATTATGTTAAATAGATTAGAACGCCAGTAAGCTCACACTTTATACCTTCATGCATGCAAAATTATTCCTGTCACTATATTGCTCTCTATGACAGACAGATTTAAATTAGAAACCAAATACACATTTTTAATAAAGCCAGCTAATCACTGGCAGAAAATGGTAGATTGTCTTTACTTCAAGTATTTAAATAAAGATTAGTTGTCTTTTTAAGACAATTATTATAGCTTAAACATAATTTATGAGCTTAATGCAGCTATTACTGAATATAATTTGATTATAGTCTATGTCATCAAATGTCATTTGTCTACAGGACACCAGACTTAGATAACACTGAAGTCCATCAGATTTTAAGGCCTATTAACGGTGTTATGTATCAGACAAAGGTATACCATTATTTTACTCTGACAATTTATATACATTTGTAATCTTTCTAGTTTTAGCTATAACTATTTAACAAATGCAGAGGCAGGGAAGTTAAACTTTAGAATTAGTCAGGGATCAACTGAGAAATTGATAGGGTGTTGCAGAGACTATTCCTTACATACAGCCAGCTTAAGTACTCTGATGAAAGTCCCCCAGGGAATTTCATTCCACCAAGCTCAAATGCTGCCGTCTGTTTATCACAGCCTGATCAGTAACTTCACCAACTGAATTACAGCTCTGATGAGTAGATGTTTAAAATAGTTCTAGACTGCAATCTCTGTAAAACTCTCATGTAACTCACCATTTTTCCTGGTGGTCTTCGTCTGACTTTTAAGGTAGCCATGTGAGTTGATTTTTCTGCGGTACTTTCTCAGCTCTGAATTAGCTCCATTCAGATACAGAGAAAATCCTTGTTCTAACTGCTCCAGTTTAATTTGTATAGCATCCTTTCTTTTTAAACGTGCCAGTAGCCTGAAGTAGAAAGGATAATAATTCATCCTAAAGCAGTGCATATACAGATGATCAGATCAGCAATAAATACAAAAACACATGATGTCACAAAGCTGAAAAATACGTTCACAGTTCAAATAACAATTTCAGAATACAGCCTCCAGGACCTGTTCCTGTTCTGTAATGCTTGTATGAGTACCCACATGATGATACATGAAGTTTGACCAAGACTCTCCCTTCTGAGATTTTTTCCATGTTGTTTCTCATTTCACATTATTTTTTCCATTTGGTATTTAGTATCTTTAATCCTTCTCCTTGAAAAATTTTAAGATTTTTACTTAGAATTTCAAAAAGCTTAAAAATGGTTGAGCTCTTTCCAGGAAAAAAAAAAAAAAAAAAAGAAAAAGATTATTTGTGTTTTGAAATTTGAGGGGGAAAGCCCTCAATCATGCAGTTAGAGATACCAGAAAATTAAAGTCTGGTTAAAATAATGTAAAAAACCCCCCGCCCTTCCCCAGGCTTAATTTCAGTGAAACACCTACCCTCCCTCTTCCAAGTCTCATCTTCCCTCCTTTCACCATGTAGCCCCCACTATCCAAAACTGCCAGTTATGTCCAACACATGAATGCATCCGGCATTCATCTTCCGCAAGGTACAGTTGCCACCTGCTTGTCGTGTTGTAATTCAGTGGCATTTGTTCCTACCAAAATTCAGAATTACAGCTCTGATAGTAAGGACGCAAGTTGTTTCAATCATTAAATAATCTGGTTTTATCCTTTTCTAAAACCACTTTAGGAGACTATATGTGAAAGAAACCCGTGTTCACAAAAATTGGCTGTTCTTCTAACACAATTGTGGCTTTTGTAGGCTTTTTTGGTCTTTTCACCAAACCATTCAGTTTGTTATACAATTTGAGTAAAAATCTTATGGCTTGTGGTAAAGGAGGGAATCCAGCAAGAAAGTTCTGTAGACCCTTCTGAACCAACCTATGACATTCATCCATCTAGGGTACAATGACAGGAAGGTTCATACGAACAAAGATTAAAAGAAATGTTTTAAACTTGTCTGAAAGATACTGAAGTTTGCAAAAGCAACTTAAATGTCCTTATCTCCCACCTTAGCACAACCTGACTTTGCACATTTAACTTCAGCAACTTTTGCATGCAATTTTCTGTATTTCTGACAACACAAAAACATTGCCTCATAACAACACCCTCACACAATGTGAGCTGCCAATCACTTCTGAATCTACAACCTCTTGCCCTATAAACAAAAATCTTCTCTGTAGGTCATGGAAACAATAACTATTTTATTAATAAATTTATCTATATTTTAAAGTATGCTGAAGAAATACCGTGATCTCCTCTAGAAATAAGAACTTTGATGTACTTAGCAACCAAAGGGAAGAGAATTACCTGAATGCTTTAAGATACAGCAAGTCAGACTTTGCATCACAAGTTTAAAAAACAAGTTTTTAACCTAATATTCACAGCTGCTGATATTAGATACTATTTTAGATAGTACACAACAGATATTACATACTCAATGGTGGTAACAATTCTGTATCTTACCGGTTTCTCTGCTGAAGCGATATTAAGTATTCGTCATGTTTCTCATCAAAGTCAGTCACCATGTCCTTAATATCAAGTTGAAATGAGAATATAATTGTCACATTGAAGTACAGAAACGATTTATTAGACAGTACTACTGGTTTTGCACCTTCAATAGACAAGAATGCTATAAACTGAAAGAAGTTCCTTCTTCAACAAAGCATAAAACTGCCAGCGTAGTAAAGTTCCCAAAGAATAGAGGAAACTTTAGTTCTTTTACTTATCTTTCAGAACCCGTCACAATCTACTGAAGAACCTAAAAATACTAAAAATGGAAGGCATATGCTATAATGAGTTTATAATCCAGTAACTGTCAAGCAAGTCAATTCTGGGGCACAAGCTGAAAGGGCCATGACCAAAGTCCAACTGTAGGATGATTTTCCTGAATTGCTACTGCTCATTAGGTCAGTTAATTCTAGAACTTATTCACTGCAGATGCCCTATACATTTAAAGCGTTTAACTAAATATTTTACCTTGCTTGCCTTTCAGGAAATAAGAACTTTTCCAGCAATTCCCACCAAGTATCCCAGAGTTGATGCTCCAAGTTGTGGTGAGGTGCCCTCTTATACATTCAGAAGTTTAAACTTGCCACCAAAACTTTTATTTTAGTTCTGTACCAAAAAAAGAAAGCCCATATTCTGTCTCTTCCCGACCGCAGGCTACCTCTGCCAAAACACCGCCCCTTCCCGCGCTCTCGCTGAGGTAACGCAGCGTTGGGGCCCAACTGACAGATCTCCCGAGCGACAGAGCAGGGCCTCGGGCCCCACTCCCATGCGCTTTGCCTCGGCAGCGCCGGCAGGCACCGGGCTCAGGAGAGAACCGGGGGCAGAGCCCCCGCCGGGCAGAGCCCCCTCAGTAGCTCGGCGGGTACCGCGGCGAGAAAAGGCCGCGCCAGGCCGCGCC